TCAACGTGGCGAGCCTTGCACGTGAGAGGCACAGTGGAGGTGGAGTTCAAAGAAGAATGAGAAATTTAATGGTTTCAATCTGCCCTTTTTTTTTCTTTTTCTTTTTATTTTTGCATGTTATCACTGTGCCCGTTTTTTGCTTTTATTCTTTGTTCCGCAAAGTGCGCTCTTTTAGTTTGTAGTGATGTGACAATATATATATATATATATTTGTGACGATATATATATATCGTCAAATAGAATATATATATAGAGAGAGAGAGAGAGAGAGAGATTGCATTGGTCAGTTGCCTACACCATGAATGCATCACCCATCATATTTGTTTTTGCGAGCAAAGTTGCAACAGGTCATCTAGTCTTACTTAAAAATCTTAAATTGCAGTGCCCTCAACTTGGGGGCATCTATCACCAATATCTCTTAATATATGCGAGCTTATATAATATACGCTAGCAAAAGAAAAGGCCTGAATTCCCAGTCACGGGGTGCACAATGTACATACAAATAATGATTAGAGTCACGGGCAGAGAAAACGGTACTTGATCAGTTGGCTTGCCTACAAACAACCGTGAATGTCATTCACACAGAACAGCTGCTGGCGGTCAAACAAAGAGAGAGAGAGAGAGAGAGAGAGAGAGAGAGAGAGAGAGAGGGTGAAGCAGGCGGGCAGGCTGGCTGTTTGGTTTAGGATATCATTGCATCGTGTTCTTTATCACTGATTATGGTAGCTATCTCCTCCAACAAACTTGGCAAGGTGGCACAAGGTGACCTACACTAGCGAGCACGTCATTGTGGTCCTGTAGCGCCCACTGAACCTCTGGAGAATAGAAAGGGGTTAAAAAAGAAAAACATGGATTCAGAGTTAAGTTTTGCTGGCCACGAGCTGGGGAATGTGTTTCATTCACCTCAGTGAGCGACACCACTGACTTTGTTTGTCTTATTGGTGCGTCTGTCAGGCACGGCCACCTCCCGATGCAGTCCAGTCAGAGGGATGTTATCAGTCTTCTCAGGCAGCTTCAACATCTGCACGTGTAGATCAACGACTGACTTCGACTGTGGCGCAGACGTCAACACGAATCTATCAACAGTCTTCTCAAACTGCGGGGGAGCCGCATGTTTCGGATCGTTGGGGAGTTGCTGCTTTGTCGCCTCATGCAGAGACACGCTGTCTGTCGAACGACAGCCACAGCAAAGGTTCTGGTTCCCTCGGCAGCGTATCTGCGCAAGCTGGTGCACCTGGAATAGCAGGTGGACCTGGATTGTCGGCTTCCCCCCGTGGAGCTGCAGGGCCACCACTTCCGTCAACTGCATCATACAGGCGCCCTCCCAAGGGGAAGTACAATCCCTTTGCAGTAGAGAATCAGCGCACTTGCGCAGCACTAGGGCAACAGAACCAACCAATATCTCATTCGCAAGAGCATAGAGATTCAGCGGATGCAGGAGGAAGCAAACACACTTCGGGGATGTTTCCGTGGCCATACCGGGTATTCCCATTTGACCATTTGTATTTCTACACCTCTGCTTGATGACATCTTTTTTCAGTGACGTTGTCTGTCTTTGAACCAGATTCGGTGCAGTAATGCCATGTTTTTGGATTGTTATGTGCTTACTGGCTTGTGAGTCGTTGTGACGAACAATGAGTGAAGAAGAATAAGTGTTCACACTGGCTGCTACCTGCCCCACTGCTACCATTGCAGGCGTTCCAAGGTCTCAGAGTTGTCTTTGCAGACTACCAGCACCCTACACTTCGATGCAGTTGTCTTTTCTTTTCTCTGCACTTCCCCTCATCGCGCTCCCCCCTTGCCACGATACCAGTCTGTGATTACCTATGCAGCTTCCTCCTTAATCTGAAGTTCTTCAATGCCCTCTTGCTGCATGCAATATTGTTTAGTATGTGACATTCATTTTCAGTGGTGGGTGTTCTTTTTTAGTTTACGTGTCAGGTTCATTGGGTATGGGATGCGATGTCATTTGGTCTCTTTTTTTTTTTGTCATCACTCTCATCTTCTTCTTCCCTTTTTTTTAATGACATTGTATTGCTTAAAGAGTGACAAATTGATGCTGGGGACGTCACAATTCGACCCGGAGTTATCCTGGGAGCCTTCAGCGCGCTACCTTCTGTTTGCAGTTCTCCTATCTCCTAGAAGAACTATCTATTGCCTTGTGTACTCCTCGCAGCTATTCCAGCTGTCTGTTACGATCCTGGCCAATTTCGAAGTACAAATTCATGAGAAAGCACAATGTCATCCACTTGCAAAAGAAATGAATGAACTTGAGAGGGGAGAGAGGGAGGGTCAGTCAGATTCCGCAGACGAAGGAGAAGAAGATGCACACCAGCAAAGACCAATGATAATTCCCTCCTCTCCTTTTCTCCTCCCCTCTTTATTCACAATAAATAATAATATTAATGTTGAATGGCTGAACCAGAATCAATGTCCGAATCCCTCTTCTAGTGCAGGTACAACACGAGGTCCACCACAGCCATGGCCACCCTTCTCCTTCTCTTCCGAAGGCCGAGGCTATGGCGGACTGCTAGGGCCTTGCCTTGCTGTGCAAAAGCAGCCATGGCTGCTCCGCCTCAGGCCGCGATGCCTGACTCTGCCTCAAAGCTTCTTGATGTAGCTCTTCCCCAACGGGGCCTTCCAGATGCAGCACCCACCAAGGTGATGAAGATGGCATCCACCATAGCCAGGTACCTCTGGCGCTCTCCTCTTGCTAGTCCTCGCCTTCCTTCTCCTCCAGCCCGAGCTCCACCACCATAGCCACGTTGGAGGGAGCTGGGCGCTCCGTCTTCCCGCAGTCCTCCAGCCCGAGCTCCACCACCATAGCCACGTTGGAGGGAGCTGGGCGCTCCGTCTTCCCGCAGCAGCACTGCTAACTCCAGCAATGCTCCAGCCAGCGCTCCAACCAGTGAGTCGCCAACCTTGCACACCGTAAATGAGGAGCTCTTTGCTCCTCCAGGAGATACGGTCTCGAAGCAAGTGGTACCTCCTCCGTTTCGGAGGGAAATGTCATTGCAGACTCTGATGTTGCCCGTACAGGCTCTAGACTCAGACTACTTGGACTGGCACCCGCCTAGACTAATGCCAACTTTTGTATTCTTCTGCTCGGCCTAGAGTACCCAACACATCTACCGCTACTTGGTGTGGTACCGACCTACCTGCTACTTGAGTGCTTTTCCGCTGTTCTAAGTGTCGCGGGCCTCACATACTTAGAAAAAAACTCAGCAACAAGCGGAAAACTCAGCAGGGCATACATTCCATTGGCAAAACCCAGAAATCAGCTGTGTGTCTCCATCCGTGTTTGTCAGGTCCTTACATTTCAGCTATTTCAGAAGGTCTGGACTATCCAGAGTGTCCCTGGGCTGGCTCTGTCTCCCTCGATAACCATGGTTGCAACACTAAAAGGCTACCAATCGATCATCCGAAGCACACTGCTCTACATTTGGTCCCCCGCTTTCTCTGGTACCTACCCTGTTACTCTCCAGTTCCTGAACCGTGGAAGCTTTCGGCGGATGTTTCCACAGAAGTTTTCGGTGATGGCAATGGCGTCCCTTGCATACGTGGATGTTTGGGAGGTGATTGACACACGGTCGTCGTGGTCCTTCCTGGTGTCGTTTGAGTCCCCCAACTTACCTGTTATGGTCCCCAATTTGCCATTGCCCAGCACCTCTTTTTTGAATCTGTTAGGCAGTCTGGATTACAGGGGAAATGAGGGAGCTGGTTGGCCAAGGGGTTCTTACTTTATTATATAATAATAAAAATCTATCTAGCCTACCACAACGTATCCCTACACATTAAAATCGCTAATGTGAGAATTTTGGCATCCGGGCCGTCCGCGGACCTACCGGCCCGACGGCCCGGATTGCCCCGTGATCTTAAAACTCTAAGATCTTAGGGTCGTGGGGCAATCGGGGCCATTGGCCCGGTTCCAGTTGGCCAACGACCCAGATTATAAGTTTGCAGCCCAACCGAAGTTAGGGCTGCAAGGCGTGAGGAGAAACCGGTTCCAGGCGTGACGGTCTCCTCTTGGGCTCAGCGGTTTGCCCCCCCCCCAAAGGGGCAATCGAGGCCAGATTAGAAGTTTGCAGCCCAACCGAAGTTAGGGCTGCCAGGCGTGAGGAGAAACCGGTTCCAGGCGGGACGGTCTCATCGTGGGCTCAGCGGTTTGCCCCCCCCCCCCCCCCCATATCTTTGGTGGCACACAGCACGCACTCATACGAACGCCTGCCCGTCCACTCCAACAAGCACATGCACGCACAGCACACACTCACAAGAACGCCCGCCCGTCCACTCAAACAAGCACATGCACGCACACGCACACAAGCACGAACACACGCATGCATGCAAATGCATCATGGTTCAACCTCCTGATGAGTTGGTGAAAGTCCAACGAAACAGTCTGGCACAGTCATGCTTTTTTCATGGGGTTCACACGAACTTGTGGGTGGGTGGGTGCGCGTGCGCGCGCACGAGAGAGAGAGAGAGAGAGAGAGAGAGAGAGAGAGCCCAAGCACCCTAGCATGATGACACTGACTGATGAAAACGAGGTTGAAGACACCGATGAAGATGAAAGATAAGGAGTAACGAGCACTATTTGCAAGGACAAGGTGAGATGATAATGGTGTGGGGAAAGGGGGCCGAAACAGGCTATGGTGTTTTTGTTGTTCTTTCCTACTCACTCTGATGGTGGAAGGGAGACGAAACGACATGCAAGGGAGGACGAGGCTATGGTGGTTTTGTTTTTCTTTCCTCTTCACTCTGATCGCGAAAGGGAGACGAAGCCACATGAAGGGGAGGACGAGGACGAGGAAGAGGAAGAGGAACACGAGGAGGAGGAGAAAAAGGAAGGCGAAAGCCTAAGAGGGAGGGAGGGTAGYGAGGCAGAAAGAGACGGGGCTGGAGGAGGAGAAGGGGGAGGAGGAGGACAAAGGGGAAGTACGAGAAGAGGGAAAAGTGAAGAGGAGGGAAAGGGGGGAGAAGAAAACTTATGGGGAAAGTCGAAAGGGGGGGGGCCGGGGGAGAGAAGTGAGGCGTAAGTCGCGAAAAGGGTGTTGGAGGTTTAAGGCGCGAAATCGCGCACGTGGTTAGGATACGAAGCGCGAAATCGTGCTTTCATTTTTCTTTTCGTTTTATTGTGTGTGTATGTGTGTGTGTTGAAGGCGCGAAAAAAATGCGTTTTTTTGTTTTCTCTTAATTATGTGTGTATCTACACACACACACACACACACACACACA